TTTATTTATGATCTTTGTTATATTGCATCGACGTTTCTCGGATAGACGAATGTGCGGCCACTCGCTTTCATTTGTATATGTATGTGCGTGTGTGTGCGTGTTTGTATGTGTGTGTTTGTATGTGTTTGTTTGTTTGTTTGTTTGTTTCCATGCCTTTGTGGGCTGACCTGCGTGTTTCTGTGCGTCTGAGTGTTTGTATATCTGCCTATCATTACGTTTACATGCTGGTCAGCGTTAGTTCTTTGTTTGTGTTGTTTGTATTTATGTTTCTGTGTGTTTGCGAGTTATTTCTTGCACGATCGCATCTATGTGTGCATGTGTTTGTGCTTGTCAAACGACTTGCTTCTGGCTTTCTTTACATTTAGATCAATGTTGTTTTCATGTGATCTAAAATTTGTGTAAGACAGTGAGACAGCGTGCCAGCGAGTAAGCCCACTGCGTAAATATTTTGAGCCATACTCAAAGATTTGCATATGATAAGTTCAACTCACCAATCTTGTTATAAATTTGTTTCACTTCATTTTTTTGCAGTTTCCGTGTGCAGAAACTCTGAGCTACATGGAGAGTGATTAGCATAAAACTCACGTTGTTTGGACGTTTAGCTTATCAGTCCGCCCTTCCAACGAACGTACGCAGATGATTTATGAAGGTGCTTGTATGGTTGTATGTCTGAGTTGGTCTGTCCGCCTGAGTGCCTATCTGTCTGTCTGTTCAAAATGTTTTGCTCTATTCTGATGTGAACTGAGTATATCGCTGAAAAAATATATTATGCAGATTTGTGCCTATGCTGGACCGTGTGTTTCTGTGTGTGATGTTGAAATTGTAAACTCTTGGATCAGTTGTAGATCATTTGTCGTTTAGTGGATCATTTGTATGACTGAGTTGAATGAATAAACAATGGAACACACTCACCTGCTGGTGTGTTTTCCAACTCTAACTCTTGCCCCAACACTGAGGTGCCACTTGGTTGAAACTTGAGGTGGTGCCAGAAAAAAGTTATTGGCCAAAATAAAATGCAGGGTACGTCAATCGTTGACTTCTTGTTAATTAAATGGTTTGGAATGTTCTCTATCAAAATTGAATAACTTTGAAACCATTAAATAAACACAAATTCAATTAAATAGAACAACGATTTCAAGTTTTGAATTTTAATAAATTAATAATTAATTTTTAAATTTATCAAATTTTTTAAACAATTAAATTCACTCAGGTCGTCAACCGATTTAATTGTTGGTTGGAGCATACCTCCCTTGGGCCAACCATTTCTTGGTGTGGAAGAATTTTCTGTATACAATGAAAAGATGAACCAGTTAACGCTCTTGGTAGCAAACAAATGGTTTTCACTTTATTTTTAATGATAGCCACAAAATTAAAACATTTTAAAACAGTTTTTCTTATATAATATACCTTCTCCGTTTTAGCTCAAAGTAGACGAATGCTCCAAGACTGGTGCACTTTAATGGCAATCCAGCACAACTGGAAATCTTTACGTCCTTTGTATCTTTTCTATAAATCCGTTTTGTGGTTTTCAAACTCTTGAGAGACTATTTTTAAACTCTATCAAAAATTTGTATTTTCTGAAAGAATTCTATCAGATTATTGATGTTATCTCTGGACAAAAAATATCTACTTCTGAAGGGATGAATTGTGACTAAATAATGACTTAAATTTTTAATAGTAATAATGAATAATTAAAAAAGTTTCAGCTTCTTATTATAAAATAAAAAAAATACTTTGTCTAAATATTTAATTTTATAAACTCAAAACTAAAATATAAACGTGAAAATATCGTTTCCAATGGTTCATAATTTATAAACTTCAACCCGGCCGATGATAAATGGCTCGTATGACGGTTTCATCAGACATCCTGACTGAGATCAATCCAATGCTCATTTATTCATTCAGCGCCTCTTCAATTGAAATCTTAAGATTGGATTTTCAAATTTTCAATTTCCATTCTAGAAATGGCTTTTTGTGATTTTTCACTTTTTTTTTGTTAAATAATTTTTATTATGGAGTATGAAACGAAATCAAGAAGCACTGTTATTTCTGTTGTTGTTGTTGTAGTTGTTGTTGTTGTTGTTGTTGTTGCTGTTGTGGTTGTAGTTGTGCTTGTTGTTGTTGTTGATGATGATGTTGATGTTGTTGTGGTTGTTATATAGTTGTGGTTGTTGTTGTAGTTTTTTTTTTTTTTTTTTATTATTATTCTTTAAAAATCAGGATCTGACAGACGCAAAAACTGAAACAACATGCAAGGCAGTAAAACAAAATTAAACAAATAAGTGAGAAAATAAATACAAAAAGTGAGGAAGAGAAATGTTAAAACATGAAAAATAAAATATGTTAAAATAAAAGAAATAATAATAAGACAAAAGAAAAGTAATTGACGATGAAATATAAAATGAAGTAACGGCAAATTGAAAGACTAGATGATGACTTAGTGGGTTAGTGAGGTGATCAATAAGTAAAAACTAGTTCAGTAATGATGAAGGTTTCTTAAGTGCTAATATGTTTGAGGTGTCTTGTGATGAAGGTCTTTTCCTGGTATGTAGATTGGGTGACGACTTGATAGTTAGGTTTGCGCTGACGAAGGTTGTGTATTGTAGTTTTGATTGGTGGTAGTAGAGGATGGATGACGTGGTTGTTGTTGTTGTTGCTGCTGTGGTTGTAGTTGTGCTTGTTGTTGTTGTTGATGATGTTGATGTTGTTGTGGTTGTTGTTGCCGTTGTTGTGGTTGTTGTTGTAGTTGATGTAGTTGATGGTGGTGGTCATTTTTATGATAGCTCTGATAGAGTTGATGATATGAAATTGAAGCTGTTGTTGATGATGACGATGATAACAATGCTGATAACAGGGGCGGTAATGGTTATTAGTGATGATGATGGAGATGATGATGATGATGGTGATGATGGAGATGATGATGATGATGATGATGATGTCGAAAGAAATATTTTTAATGCAAACTAGCTTGATGATACTAGCAATCGAGGAGGAGATAGAGAAAAATAATGGAGATGAAGATAAGGATTGTTATGCAAATGAGATGGGAGGATGACGATGAGGACGATGATGAATAGGATGGTGAGTAGTAGGAAGGAAAGAAGACGATGATATGATAACCATCACCATAACATAATATGGTAAAGAGGTTAATTGTGGTGATAGCAGGCAGTTGTTCAAGACAACAACAACGTAATATATGTATTTACAATAACTTTGTAATAATTACGTAACCATTATGCAAGCTACATTGCATTATTTACATGTTTATATGCAGATTCGGCAGAAGATAAATGCCTAAAAACAACTCATCCTTCGACCACATGCAGTTGAACTCCAGTGACACAACGGCCTCACACATACACAGGATGTTATATTTACACATTTGCATGTAAGGTACGCGATGAACACATCATAATACAACACGTCATGTTGTTTCATTTGCAGAGAGAGACGGCATTTGAACCTGGTGAGTATGCATTAAGAAGAGAAAGAGACAAAAAAAGTGAAAAAACACAAAAAGCCGTTTGAGCTAATTCGCCGATCAGTGGATAATATAAATATGTTGATAGAACAATTATATTCTCACATGACATATGTAATACGTTTTACTCTATTTATTTATTCGATTATTTATTAATTTTTTAATTTATTCTAATTATTTCATTTTAATTTTTTAATATTGTCTTGGATGTTGTTGTAATAGTCAGATTTAGATTTTTTAAAGAATTAAAAAAAGTCATATCACTTGATAACAAGAAAGTTATAATGAAATAACTTCTATCATTACAATGTTTAAAATATTGACGTTTATAACCGAGAATACCTTGAGCACATTGAGAACTTGTTCTAAGATTCCATGCCTATAACGAAGGCATGTCGCAACAATGATTTGAGATGCGTGACCATATAAGGATCTGAATGTCAAGTTCTATTGGAGTAAATTATTAGGGCGGCGTGATGGCTCAATGGTTAAAGGCGCCTGGTCTAGATAAACCATTGCTATGACTGGGTTCGAATACAAGGAGTTCCCCGCCTATCATATGCAATGTGTATGATGCGTGGTTTGCACGCGTATTCATATACGTTGTGTGTGTTTGTCGTTGAAACCTCTGAAGCTAACACAAAAGAGAGAGAGAAACCTTTAACCTTTAACCTTTATTCTTAACTTTCCATATCAATCATTTAGGAAGCCAGAGTAACTATTAGAACGATAATGGTGTACGTTAATTGTTCTTTGCTGAAATATTTAACATTTATAATTAATGTATAATGAATGATTATACTAATAAAAAAACTAAAAAAATTTTTATAAAAAAATTAAAAAAGATTTTTATGAAAACAGTTTTCAACGGTACGTGTTGTTTAGATTACTTATGTGTGCATATATTTGTCGACCTTTAAAAAAAAATAATTCTAAAAATAAGTTGTTTTGAGTTTTTGAATTTTAATTGCGACTCCATGTGTGCTTCTCTTGGTGTAATAACACTTTTTGAACAAATTTTGAGTAACACAAAACACATAACACATTAAACCAAACACATACACACCATAAACACACACACCATACACACACACAAACACACACACACCATACACATTCATACAGAACATACATACACACACACACACACACACACACACACACACACACATACACATTCAGACAGAACATACACACACACACACACATACACACACATACACACTCCAACCTACACACACCATACACACTCACACACAGAACACACAGCAGATCTCACAGGACCGCAGTTCTGACGTTCATCAAATATGACGTCATGCAAAATGAATGACGTCACACCGGCAGTTTCATAACTGAGGAATAAAATGTGACCTGGATGTTGCAAATGTGGATGAACTAATCTGGCAGATGTGAGCGTAACTCACAGCAATGATATTTCGATTGGGACCAATGCGTCTCCAACATCTACAGTCAAATATGATGGGCCTCACATTTCTCATTCGTCAAATCTTCTTTCATGTCGTGTTTATCAAAATGTGTGGTGGTGCATCTCGTCAGTTTCTTCTTTGATGGCTCTGGTTATATGCAGGCTTCAGTAGGCTTACGTAGCACTTGCTGTCATACCTATAATGTGGAAGATTCTTTTAATCACTCTGTTGACAATCTTAAAAGGATGAAGTTCCTTAAGGTAACAAAATAATTTATTCTTGAGAGTTAGCTTAGTTATGTAACTTTAGGCAAACTTCTGATTTTTTTGTAAAATCACAAATAAGTATAATACACGAGGAATACAAACTTAAAACTAATCATAAAACTTATTAAATTTTACAACATTCTAGAAATATAAAATGGAATTGTTAAAATAAATGTATGGTAAATCGTTCAAATCTATCGCGATGAGGATCTAGTAAAAAAAAACTTTTGCTGAAGAAGGCTTATCATCACAAAATCACTTTCAAAGATCTGTAAATTGAATTTTAGGAATTAAATGAAAAACATAGTTGAAAAAAATATTTGAAATATTAGTTGTGGATTCTGCTTGGTTTGTTGAGTGTCTATATAGACGTCATCTAAGTGAAGCACCGTCTTTCGATACAACAACACTACACAAAATACAACACACTACACATAACTGAAACAACTGTATACAAAGTGCAACAACACTACACAAAACACAGCAACACTACACCAGATACGACAACACTACACGAGGAATGCAGGGTACAACACACAAGTTACAGGCAGGCAGTGGCATGGCGGGGAGCCGGGTATCCTGTTGAATGTGACATCATTCGCTCCGATCGGACAGAACTGCATAATTCAAATCTAATATTTGAAACGTGCTACACTACAAATAGTAATAAAATTATTTTGATTCTAGCATGGGCTTGTTGCCTGAAACAAATAAAAACCAATCAACATGGTCCAATCAGCATGCGGTTGTTAGGCAAAACGAGTCATTCCAACATGCGTTTCAATATTTACAATTCACCATCAGTTTAAATACACTTTTATGTTATTTCATGTTTGTAAATAAATAAATAAAAATATATATATATGCGTGTGTGTGTACGTTTTTAAACGTGTGTGTGTGTGTGTGTGTGTGTGTGTGTGTGTGTACGTGTTTAAGCGTGTGCGTGCGTGTATGCATGCAGGGTCCCTTCAACCTCACTTAGCAATGATGGAGACTTTGTAGCGAATAACAAAAAGCAAATAACTGAAATGAATGATGGCTGAGATGGTATAACAAATGATGAGTTATGAAGGATGCTGTTGTTGCTTGCAGAGAGGCAGGCAAGCATTGTTTTCGTGTTTGTACAAGCTCCAGTGTGTTGTTGGTTTGCCCGTGTGTGTGTGTGCGCATGTGTGCGTTTGCGCGTGCGTGTGTGTGTGTGTGTGTTTGAATGTTGTGTGTATGTGTGTGTGAATGTTTTTGCATATTTAATTTTATTTGCAAACAGAAGCTGGAGAACTGAAGTGAGGTTGTAATGATTACGGAGGTGTTCAAAAATAAAGAAAAATATGTAATGTGAGGTTGCAAACGGATCACTTATCTGAAATATTGAATGAAACGTTGGGCAGACGCTATTTAACATCTTAAAAAGAATGACAACAAAAAAACAAAAAAAAAACAAAAAAATACTAATGGTGATTATTGGCAGAAGTTGTGTGATATGAAAGAATTAATTAACAAACGATAAGATTGTAGTAATGAATTTGAAATGTTGAGACCAAGATAGCGTAGAATTAATAAGGAAAGTAAAGCCAAACATTTGGCTATGTCAATTTGTTTAATTTTACGTAAATATACATTATACATGTTTATACATATAATTATATGTATGAGCATGTTTATTGTTTGTGTGTTTATATTTCAGTGAGGTCTGTGTTGCATGTACGTATGTGTCCCTATGTGAATGTCTGCGTGCCAGTGTTCTTGGATGTATGTGAGATTATTTGTGCATTACTGCTCATGCTATGTAAAATTTATTTTGAAGATTTCTCTAGTTGTCATGTATGTTTATTAATTCATCTCTGTTGATGAAGCTGATGATGATTTGTTTGTCGCTAGCTATATAAAGAAACAACACGACTCTTATGCATTGAATTGTACACATATAATTATATATATATATATATATATATATATATATATATATATATATATATATATATGTATGTATATATACACGCATGTTTGCAAGTTTATAAATAAGTATATAAATTTATGATGGCGGGAGTGGAGACTGGCCATAAAACTAGTCATTGAAAAATTACAAGCACTTTTGTGCTTGTTGATGCTGTGTGCTTTCTGCTCAGCCCTACTTGGCTTCTCGCGCTGATGTGACTCTGGTTGGTCTTGCTGGTGATTTTTGTTTAGCTCATGTTCCTGGTGTGGTACAAGGCTTCTTGGTGCGGTTGAACTTTTCTTGGTTGTATCAATAGATTTCTTTGAAGCATGGGGTTTGTATCGGCGCTTCACATTTCTTCATTAAATTACAAGATTGGCTGGGTGATTCGTGGTTCATATGCATAATTTTGCTAAATAAAAGGAAAAAAAATTATTTACACATAACAATAAAACGGACTATTTGAGAGCGAGTTGTTAATCAAAAACTGCTGTAGGTTTTTGTTTTAAAACGAGAAACTTTCAACACAGTAATGAAAATCTGAAATGAAAGACGCCGAGTACTCAGAATAGATTCATCTTAATTTGACAAAATAAACTCATTAAAGCAGATGAGGAAACACCAGCGCACATAGGAGCACACACACCCACAACACATACACACACATACAAAAATGCAAACACACACACAACTGCACATAGGATCACACACACCATACAACTACATACACAACTGCACAACTCACGAATACACACACAAACCGAGAGGTACATAGGAAAATACACACACCACACACTCAAACACATATACACACAACTGCACTCACACACACGCAAACACAAGCATTTGATGTGGAGTTCAAACTTACATAGAAGCTAAATATATTGGGATGATGGAGGAGATAAATCATGTTTTGTGTGGGAAGAGGTTGGTTGGTTGGATGGCTGGCTTGTGGAAGAATCTATGAAACGACGGAGTCTGTGAAGATGAAGATGATGTTGAGGATGATGACTGTTGTGGTGATGATGATGATGTTGTAGTTGTTGATGATGATGATGATGATGACTATTGTGGTGATGATGATGATGTTGTAGTTGTTGATGATGATGATGATGATGACTATTGTGGTGATGATGATGATGTTGTAGTTGTTGATGATGATGATGATGATGACTATTGTGGTGATGATGATGATGTTGTAGTTGTTGATGATGATGATGACTATTGTGGTGATGATGATGATGTTGTAGTTGTTGATGATGATGATGATGACTATTGTGGTGATGATGATGATGTTGTAGTTGTTGATGATGATGATGATGATGACTATTGTGATGATGATGATGATGTTGTAGTTGTTGATGATGATGATGACTATTGTGGTGGTGATGATTATGATCTTGTTGTTGTTGTTGTTGTTGATGATGATGATGATGACTATGGTGGTGATGATGATGGTGATGGTGATGATGGTGATGATGATGGTGGTGATGATGATGATGATGATGGTCTTAACAAACTATTAAAGCAGAAATTTAATTCATATATATTATAATTTTTTTATTTATATTATTATTATTTATATTATACTATATTTAGAGAGACGAAAGAATAGATAGATGGAGGCGGAGGAGTTGGATTGGATGAGATGTCATGTCACGTGTCATCAAATCCGTGCC